TCGACGACCTTGGAACGACACCCCGCCGTTGGCGATGGCGCAAGTACCGGGATAGGCAATTCCACCGTGCCTGCAGCAGGGGCCTGACACTCCCGTCCAGTATATGCCATTCCAGAGCCGTGAAGCGGGCAGCGTGGCGTCGTTAAGGTCAGCACGATGTTGGTGTTTGACAGCACACCATGATCTCACAACGAATCCAGGGGCAGAAGTCACTTCAGCCTCAGCAACTTGACACCGAGGGCTTGATAGCGAATGCAACAGCGCACCCGTTCGTGCGTGCCCCTCAGCTCTACCCCGGAAGGGAGTCTTTTCTTTTTCGAAATTCTCCTTGCATCGCTAGAGGGCGGAGTACGAGTGAGACAAGCAAACGCTCAGTTTGCCTGAAGGGGCGTGTGTCGGTCGGAAACTTCGCTTGGAGCAAGCAGGGGCACTGACACGACGTCGATCTATCAAACCCCACCAACTGCAATTAGCATCGCTCCCTTCCAGGCACTGGCCAATCCCGTGTCGGGCTTTAGGTGCGTCCCGCGATAGCTTCCTTTCAAGGTTCTTTATCTTAGCCCTCGACGGAGAGCATCCAGATTCTGATGGTGTGCGTTCCCAAGCCCATAGCAGCTGTAGCTCGTCACCACCTCGACTCGCTCCTGCACGAAACAAGTTTCGATGCCGACATCTGGAGCGTTCGCGATACTGAAGACTACTGGTCGACACAACCAACTGGGTTATAGGCTAGAAGCCGAGCGTTCCTGACTATCGCACAACCCTGGCACCGACGGCCTTTGTGCAGCAAAACCGGGCATTATAGCGCAAACGCACCGACATGTTCCTTGGCAAGAACAGTTGCTTGGTCGCCAGCGTGCCAGGTCATTCACTATTAATCATCTCCGATGCTTCATCGCGGGGCCATTTCGATGACCGCCAATAGCGCTTGAGGGCCTTCACCGGACCTTCTTGAAACACATCAAATCTGGTTGAATCTGGTCGAACAACGAGTTCAACGCCCCCATGCACATTCGTTACAATGACATGAGAGCCGTCGACTGAGGCTTGCAGTTTGCTCCGCTATTATAATGTGACTAGTCGTAGTGGACTGGTAGTGCCATGATGGTGCATCATCTGGACTCATCAGAGCGATCAAAGCCTATACAACTAGCGGCATACGTCGAAAACTCTCCGAATCATATTTTGCGTTTGAGGGTCGTCACTGTAGCCGTCCCCGATGCTCGCAGAACCATTCCAAGTGCGACAGCTAGAAGGATCGTACCGTCAAGGGACCTGTCTGACGACAACATTTCGAATTCTGCAGAATCCAAGTACTGTGTCTCAATTTTCTTATGCTAGACTTCTTACAAAGACTTCCCACGCCGAAGAAAGGCTCGGCTCCTGAACCCGTGGTCGTCATGATCTTCGCGCCCATCCTGCAACCGAAATGAGACTTTCATTACAAGCCACGACCAAAGAGGCATCATCCGCAACCCATATGTATCTCGTCGCTTAACCCGCTACCTATCTTTATAGCAAACTCAAGGGTCATCCTTCTTTGTTGAAGCCTGCGGCAAGATCACACGCAAGGTTGTATGCCCAGAACTCTTCAATGTCACTTGGGCCAAGGGTACCCAGGGCCCGAGTTTGTGAGCGCGCGGCTTTGCCGCCATGCCGTGCAAGACGGTAGGTACCTGCAGCTGGAACATAGCGCCTGGCGCTGTCGTTCTGCCGGCTAAACTGCGCAACTTGCACGTGGGCTATCACTATCAGTCAAGCGTGCGACGCCAGGGCCACGAACCGACGGTGGTGTAGTGGCCCAGAGGAAGCACACATAGCGGCGGACACTTTGTTCGGCTGCCTGTGCGAGGAATTGGACCATATCTTTGGAACTACTTGTGATGGCTGCGTAAGATGCGCGATGTGTCGCAGATGTCGTATTGCTTTTTCGATATCTCCTGATCTACAGCGGGGAGAGAATGCTTGTGTCTGTCTTGCTGTCATTGGTGCGACCAAAGCAGAAGGTGTTAAGACTGCAGCTTGCATCTAACATTTCCTGCTGCCACCAATGAGGGTTTAGATATGGCATATCCACAGCAAAGCTCAGCCGCAACCTCAACACCACCATCGTGAACTCCTGAATATGGTAAGAAAGCGACGGCGCATTCCCTACGCTGTCCTTGATTTTGGCACCGAAGTGCACCCGTCATGACCTGGAAGAAGCGAGTCATTGAGATGAAGATGCACGCAAAACCTCTCGAACGAGAAGAACGCCCGACACCACATCAGCCTCATCACACACCGCACAGCCTCTCCACCCAAGCAAGATGATCAGAATAAAATCTCTCCTTGAAGGTGCCTCGGAACCGGTGGCATCCGAATGATTATGTCGCCTCAGCAAGGTCTTCGCAGGCTACGTGGGCTCATACCTGTCTTCCAATGATCATATAGGGTTGCGTGGGGCATCGGGTGGGTATTGATCCCGACACTCTATAACAGACACACTATTGCTCATGGTATTTCACGGCGAATGTGCTTAACGACGAAAAATTTCCTATGCCCATGCAACAAAAGTCATGGACCGGAGTTTCGGCAATAAAGGACTTAGCAACGGATGATGTCGGAAGCTACATTTGCGCATCATGGTCAGCTGGACTGACCATGTGTCGTTCGCATGTCATGAACGGTGACGCTTGCGCAGGTATTCCTTCAATCGGCTTGACGCTACCGTTCACTGCAAGCCGACATCCGAAATCAAACATGAGTCGCTGTAATGCTTGTCAGAGCGATAGGCGTCTTGGGGTCAGGTAACGGCCATGCATCTGTCCACATTGCGCCCTTCTCACCCGACATCTACGACTCATACCTAGGTACATGCGGTTTATGTGTGACTGGTAGATATTAGATGACCCTGTCAAAAATCCCACGTCGCTTGTGCAACAGACGTTCGTGGGGGCGGCTGTGCATGTATCTGTATATTGGATCTACTATATGAAGCGCTTCATGATGCTTATGATAATCAGAGATATATTGATGCTCACTTCGCTTGCTACGAGAAGGATGTGACATCGTTCAGTGAGAAGTGGAGCGTTGAGGATCTGCAGGAAAGTTCTCCTCGCTGTTCGTGTTGTTTGTTACACCGAGATCTGAGCGAGATCGCAATCAATAAGTGCAGGTGCTATATGCACGTTGGAGCATACAAGCGCCGCTATCTGAGCGACCAAGCCTGGCGACCAGGTCATCTAGAGAACCAGCGATCAAGCTGTAGGGCTTTGCAAAACTTTGTTATCATGATCAACAGATTTGCTTTTGCTGCTGTAATCCGACCAAGAGCACCTGCGCTTTCAGAGAGTCGCACGATGTGGCGTTAGTCCAAGGGGTTCAACCGACCCGGGAATTACTGCCGCCAATAAACTTTCACTTCTCCCTCCATGGCCTTCACACATAGAATCATCTCGTCACTAATTCGCCCAACTTGTACACACTCTTATGAGGAACAAAGTCAATGATCACCACCCACAATACCACTTGAACATCAAGACGATTTGTCAGAGAAAAAGGTACGGAACGCTATCCTGTAAAGTACACACTACGACATCGGGGCCGATATCGTACCAAACACTCCACGAACGCCCCTTATCTCGATCGCCGAGATAGAACCAAGCTTCACTCCAACCCCAGCGACACGGCTGTGTGTCCACTCCACTTTACATATGCATGTCTTCGTGGCTTCTGAGACGGTCAACTATCCACTGCAGAACTAAGCTCGTATGTGCATGACCACCATCTCTCACGTTCTCCTAGCAGCATCGGTTCCCCGGGGTCGTCTCCGCACGTCTCAGATACGGCAAACCTTATAAGCGACCTCGCTCACTACTTCAACTTCCACCAGCCTTACGGCCTTTCCCGAGTGACAGGAACGTTTTTAAGCGCCATCCCCTCTTCTGTCATGTTTGAAGACGCTCATTGCAAGCCAGACGGTAGAGTTTACGGCTTTTGTAAAGAGTTTTGAGTGCAGGTTTGCCGAACCTTTGAATCTCAAAGGGCGATTTCGGCCATCATCCTCCGCTGCGGATCGTTAAGATGCAGGACGGGCTCGGTCCGTTACCGGGCTAATCATGCGCCACGGTCTGCACCTTGGCCCAGTAAAGGAAGGAGATGACTACCCCTTCTCCCCAGTTGTGGCTTGCTTCAAACATGCCTTACAACTTTTCACGCCGGCTATACAGATGATCGGCATTGTTGTTTCCGGGTAACGAAAGCTCTACAAATGATCAGTACGATTCGAAGCGCAATGACGTGTGAATAGGATGATCGAGATTAGAAGCTGGAAAAGTACGATTGTAAGGTAGGTAAGCGATCATTCAGGAGCCGTCGTAAACCTTGTCGGCATGGCCGAGCGTCGAAAAGCGGCATGTCGCGAGTGAGCTTGTTGGCGCGTCGCTTGCGCAATAACGGGGCAGGTGGAGGTTACGAATAGGATGGGCATGGATCGACAGATGTCTTGAGTCGTGCCTGGATGTGTTTACGTATGAGTGCAGTTGTGCTAACCTAGATGCTGATACAAAGCGGGAGGCTGCTGTCGCCTGTCGCCACGCCGTAAGTGTGGTTGAGAGCGAGAGAAAGCGTCGGAGGAGTACCGAGTGTGGGTATATTGGCTGGCCTTGAACCGTAATTTGTCACCAAATTGAAGATCTAGACGTTGAGGTGGCATCCATACTAAGGGCTCGGGTACTGGAGTGAAAGTCGTTTACTCCATTGTCAGTATTAGTCTTATGCAGGTGTGTAAATACTTGATCAGGACGTACGATGACAAACGAAGATCTCATCTCTGGGCCTAAAGAGACAAGATGCCACCAGCAGAGACAATTGGATGTGATGAAACGTGAATATACTAGTAGAAAGGACGTGATCATGAACCCGAAGACAACTAGCTCTACAGTCCAAGGGAAACCGCTTTCCCGTTTTCGTGCCCTGAACGCCTAGTGACCCAACCCAGGGGATGGCTTCTCTAAGCCTCATACCAGACTCAATCGCACCTTTCTCTTTCCGGTGCTTTCTTCAAGCTCGTCCGTGATCCTGACAGTTACCTTCTCGAACAGCTCGATAGTCCTCTTAACATCGCCCTTGATACTCAACACATAGTTCTCGGCGTCAAAGTCAGCCTCCGGCTCCGGTGTAGCAAGATCCCTCAATCGAATGAGACTCTCGATACCAAATCTCGGTACAAAAACAACGAAGCCGTTGGAGAAGATCTTCATAATGAAACCTTCCTCGTTGATATCCTTGCCCTTGAGCGCCTGGCCGACGTAATACTCAATGGAAGCGCGACCGGCCATCTGTGCATTGCGATGGCGCACGTTGATGTTCTTGCATACAGCTTCCAGCTTGGCCTTTGACTGTAGGCTAGGGTCCAATTGCTCGTACTCGATAGCAGCAGCAAGCTGGCGATGTGCTTCGAGATCAGCATAGCGACGGATGGGGGATGTGAAGTGAGTGTAGATTTCGCTAGCAAGACCATAATGCCTGAATTCGGGATACGCTTGAGTTCCGGCGCAGAAATACTCAGCAGACATCATGCAACGTGTTGCCATAATCCTGACGAGAGTGTTGAAGAATGGGTCATTGGGATCAACACACTTGTCAAGTGAATCAGCCAAAGCTTTCGAGCTATCAGTCTTGAGCTCCATTCCCTTCTTGACCTTGAGCTGGTTATCCAGCTCTTCGAAATTCGTCTTAGGAGGGGCAGCGTGGCGACGGAGCAAAGCTGTTTGTGGAAAGGCCTCGTAGTTTTTTGCGGCAACACTAATGTTGGCGAGCAACATAAACTCCTCCACGAGCGAGTTGGTGTCAAGATGCTTCTTTGTCTGGACATCTGCCGGGTCTGAAGTTTCGGATTCAGTTCGGACCTTTACTTCTGGTGAAGATAGGTTCAATGCTCCGGCGTCCATTCGCTTTTGCTTCAGCTTCTTGGAGAGCATGAGCAGCGTCCGCATGCCGTTCGTGAGATCATCCTGCTGTGATTTATCGTCTATCCGGATTTGGGCTTGTTCGTAGCTGAATGCCTCTCTTGAACGAATAACAGACTTGGTGAAATACGAAGAAACGATGTCGGCGTCCTCAGTGACCTCCCAAATTACAGAGAAAGCGTAGCGCTCGACATATGGCTTCAGGGAACATAGATCTGTTCCAAGAAGCATAGGCAACATGTCAATGCGCTTGTCAACCAGGTAAACGGTCGTTCCACGTTGGCTGGCTTCCTTGTCCATCGCATTGTTCGGTTTGACGAAATGAGATACGTCTGCAATATGAACACCGACCTGGTAGTTACCGTTCGGTAACTTGTGGGCATGGAGAGCATCATCGATGTCAACACAACCAACAGGATCGATAGAGCATACCAAGAGGTCGCGAAGATCTTTACGCCCCTTCCAGCCTGGATCCTCCAAGCTAGCTGGTACCTTCCAATCATGGCCTTCAGCGGGTAAGCAGTCCAGAACCGTTTTGGGGAAAGGCTTGTATTGAACGTCCCACTCCAGTAGTAAAGCTTCGGTCTCTGCGCCCTTAGATTCAAGCTCGCCAAGCGATCGTACAAAATGGCCAACCGGATATCGGGAATCTTTATCCCAAGAATCGATCGTTGCCAGAACACGTTGACCAAGAAGTTCTCCAGCTTGTCGTGTTCGTATCCGAATTTTAGGTATGCGCTTGTCCATCGGAACGAGGAATACGGTCTGTTGCTGTCGACTCGATTTTGAAGAAGAGCGAACAGAGTCGCGATCGATGTGGCCGACGTATTGTCTCCAGTTTCGCTTGATGACACCTACTACACGCGCAGTCGGCTGTGGCCTGCCTTCCGTGCTTTGTCCATGGACACGCTTAACTTCCTCTTGTAACGCTCGTCGTTCTCGCTCTGGGATGACGTTCTCGCCTTCTTCAGCCTCTGCGTTGTCGTTCTTGTTCACTGTCTCCTCTTCAATGATCTTGGTTGAAGGCGCCTTCCACTGATCCTGAGGCAGTACCTCAACAACTACTACGTCGCCAGAGACAGCGCGATTGCTGTTCTCACGTCCTAGAATAAGGAGAGATTTATCGAAAGCAGGTACGTGGACTGAGCCTTCGAGGTAATTGTACGGGGAGACGTTGAAGATGCCTTGGTGTAAAGTGCCAGCTTTTACACCAGTCATCATCTTAGAGACTGTATAATGTTCCGAATAGAAGATCTCTGGCTTTTTCGACCTGACTTCCCGTTGCTCTTGCGCTGCGCTGATCATGTCTAGGAGCTCGTCCGAATTTTCCAAACCCGATACAAAGTCTGACAAAGTCTTGCCAGGAACCTTCTCGGCTTTAGCTTTGCGCAAGTTGTCCCTGTCATCGGTGATCATGACAACCGTAGGTATCCGCGTCTGCGTTTTGCTCCGCGCTTTAACAGCCTGTGTGATATGGTCATTGTACCATTGTACGGCTTTGCGAACAGCCCGGTCGTTTCGGTCATTGATGGTCTCTCCAGCTTCCCGCGCCACATACGTCTCTTGCCTGAATTCGTTGAAGAACACGTAGAAGCGCTTTCCTTCGTTCTTAGTCAGGGATATCAGACGATGATATAGAGGAAGTGAACGGTTCTTGACTTCCTCTAGTACAGTTTGGAGGACAATAACATCATGGAATGCGGTCTCAACTTCGAATAAGTCCATGCCAGTAAGAAAAGCATTTGTGTCCGGAATAAGATATTGGCCACTTGGGAAGTCCTTGGATCCTGCTGGCGTGTCTGAAAGGACAAATGGGGCGACTGACAAAGGTTAGTCTAACTCTGCACGTGAGGTTTTGCGACCGAACCTTTCTTGGAATAGTCCGTCGGCGCAATCTCTAGACATGCTCTGCAAAGATTGGACGAGCATGGAATGTCCTGTCGTAAATACAACTCTCTGACAATTTTCTGGACCTTGCCACTTTTGGTAGACCGCACGTAGACCTTGCTGGACAGGTTGGTTTCACCACGATCGGCAGCTGTCGACCGCTTCAGACTGAAGTACTCCATCTTTGGGGCAAGGTGTGTTGGTTGATGAGCGACGAAGGCGCGTGGTGTTGGTGTCTGGGAAAGATTGGTCGATGCCAAGATATCAAAAGATCCTAGCTCCACTACCTAGCTCCGCACCATGACGGAGCTCCCAGGTGGGCCCTCACAGCGACCAACATCACCTGGGCAGAGCTCCAATACCACGACTCCAGGCACCGAAGCCGCTCTATCGCTCACATCCTGCCCCCCTGCCACGGCCATCGCAATGTCTTCGCTAGATCCGCCGACGTACCTCACCTCGATCCAGAACAACATCCGCGCGCGGCCCATATCATGGGAAGGAGCTGTGCGAGCTAAGACCATCACCGACGAAGACCTCAAGAAGATTAAATCAATCGATAAAGTGCGCAAGGAACAGAGGAAACAGACCATCGAGTCTGATGTGGATAGCTTCGTGACGCTGTTAGTGGGCGGAAATGGATCGCAGAGCATCTTTGAGGCAGCTGCAAAGCGCCAAGACATCATTCACTACATGCTGGTCTTGTTGGGAGACATGATTGATGGTAGCAACGCGAACCTCTCTAGATCCAAGGCGAAGCTTACACAGTTCCAGACATACCTGCACTCACATCGGCTCTCGTCCAACACCCAGCGCCCTACAAGCCTTTCCTGCCGCTCTTGAAGGCTTCATCTAACAACGAAGACCCCGTACCGCTTCTGACGTCTTCCGTTCTGTCCGGCCTTCTATCGCAGGCTGTCAAGACGTCTTCCAAGAACACACCCCAGCTTGATGAGGCCTTAGCACAGCTCTTCACCTACCTCTCGACACTCGCAAAGGCATCCGACGCCGGTCTGCAGGATATCGCTGTACGGGAATATTCTGCCGTACTTCGCAGCACCAAATCAAGGTGCATATTCTGGAAGCAGAGGAAGGAGACACTTAGCCCTCTGTTTGATATTCTGCGGGCTGCAGCTGGGTCTGCCAAGGATACAGACTCAACCCTGTATAGTGGCGGTGCTAGTATCCGTACAACAGATGGTGGCATCTCTGGTGGTGTCGGTCTCCAGCTTCTGTACCACGTCTTGCTCGTCATCTGGCAGCTTAGCTTTGAGGGCGAGCTCGTAGGCGAAGGACTTCAGGAGTATGTTTACTCTTCTAAATCGCATTTCGCATTTACTAACAGCTTACAGGGAGCACGATATCGTCATTCTCTACACGCAACTCCTCAAGGTCTCGCCTAAGGAGAAGACCACTCGTCTTCTTCTTTCCACTCTCCTCAACCTTTTGACTACCAACCGCCAGACTCTTCTTCCAACAGCCGTGCTTGCTCGCCTACCCTCTCTTCTCTCAAGCCTAAAGTCACGACATCTAACCGACGAAGATGCGCTCGAAGATCTACAGGCCTTGAACGAGCTCCTTGAGGAGTACACCAAGACACAGACTACCTTTGATGAGTACGCTGCCGAGCTACAGTCGGGTCACCTTCGTTGGTCGCCACCGCATCGCAACCCTACCTTCTGGCGAGACAATGCGCGTCGCATCTTAGAAGAGGACAAGGGCGCACTACCCCGAAAACTTGCGGAGATTCTATCTAAGAGCTGGGAAAACGATAAGCAGGTATTGGCTATTGGGTGCAACGATGTCGCGTGCTTGGTCAAGGAGGTGCCAGAGAAGCGACAACAACTTGAAAAGCTGGGTCTGAAGGGCAGGGTTATGGAGCTGATGCAGGAGGCAGATGAGAGCGTACGGTGGGAGAGCTTGAGGGCAGTTGGCGAGTGGCTGCGGTACAGCTTCGAATCGAAGACCGAGCTTCCAGTCAGGTAATTAGTGTTGACTATGGGGACGATTGTGAGCACTGTCAAGCGTGTGAGTGTTTTTCTATATGTTTTCTCGTCTATACAGGGCCTCTCATAGAATGTCGGGCCCATACAGTACATGCTCGATCATCTCAAAGCCGTTTACATGCTCTCCCCTTCTTCGTATTTGAGATACAGATTGTCTGGCACCATGATATGCATGAACCTTTTGTGTACCGAAATGCCTTTCATTGAGATTTCCACCAGTTTTACGGAACCCAGACTATTGCGCCACTTACCTGTGTAAGCCATACAACTTCATGTGGCGATGTCCTAGGTAATGATATGCAGTATGATGGGTTACATTACGATCAAGAGTAAACAGAATTCGTGGGCTACATGAGCTAGTGACATGATGAGTGGCATTCAACTGAACCACTCTAATACTCTATTGACTCTCCATCCCCACTCTCTAGAATCAGTCGACTTGCTGACATGTGGGTCGTCGTTTCTGTTTAGATATCCCAGACCAGGTTTTAACTCCGTCAGAGAGATTTGAGTGTGAGTGAAGCGACATGAGGTGTAGGAAGGCAGGATCAACGACATGTTTGACAAAGTATGAAAACTGTTTATTTTGAAGTAACAAGATAGTTGATGAGTGATTTAAGCCGACCATGTGCCGACAACGGTTGTCAAACACACACTGCCTTGGAATAACTCTTGCTCTCCTCCAGGAGGTTAATGCGGTGAAAAGAGTTCACGGATTGCAAGAAGCCATAGAAAATGATATATTTTGTGAGAGTGTTGGGAACCTCAACCTTCTACTTTTCAATATCTATGGCCTTGTGTATAGGCCCAAACATATTACCACTATAGAAACCTCAGGTTGAAAAGCACGTCCAACCGATATGATATATTGAAGCTTTTTGTCATTAAAGAAAGTACGAATCGTTATCATCCATAGAAGAATCTGGTTGTTTGCATTCGGTGTCTCTCAACAATATTCTTGCATACTGCCATCCACGCTTTTCTCCGGGACACTGCCTTGATATTTACATCCTTCATGTAGAACCAGTTACCTATGCGGTTGAACTGAGGATATCGAGCAAACTGGTGATGTAACGGACAAGGCCTTCTGCTTGCTCAGTCCAACGTTCGTGCTCACCATGAAGAACCTCGTGTTATTCTTGACTTATTCCCCACCAATATCGCGCCCCGAAGGTATACATAGCATTCCCCTTCATCAACTTATCGATCATGTAACACTATATCTCTTGAAGATAAGTTTTATGACCTAGAGTACGACACAATGAAAACGAGCATCTTCGTGAATTGATTACATGCTCCGCATCACAATGTACATATGGTCTTGCTCGCTATCACTTTCCAATTCCGGCTAAACCAGCAGCCTTCGAAACCACACGATCTCGGCTCCCCTGCTGAGTTCCGTCAACTCTTCCCTCGTCCCCAATCTTATCGCGACTCCACCATCTCAACTTCGTGAATATTTGAGATCCGGATGCAGTACCCGCTCCAATAGCAAGCCCGAGCCCATCTAAACCTTCTCCAAGCCAGTCATCTCGGCACCTACCATGTCTCTCTTCTTTCTGATACCATCACACGTATCCTAGCGTGCTATCCCGTCTCCCCTGACGGTATCCTGCGTGAACGACTGATTAGCAGGACAAAAAGAGTTTAGGGATCGAAAATTTGCTTCTTTCCCGTATTTAGAGTCTTCGGATTTATATGTGCATAGACGCCAATGCGCACAGGACAAACGCTATTTACTTCCTCGTCCGTGACATACTCGGCATTCTCCTAGCCTGAGATATGTTTCCCTTGCGGATCATGCGGAATCTACCGTCCCCTAGTTTGTGGAATCGAAACATGCTAGTATGTTGGTTTTTCTACCAAACTTGGTCATAGGGGTTGGGTTTGTCTACTCAGAAGTGGTCATGACGGCAGTCGAAACGTCCTTTTGTGCTTTTAAGATGATCTTCGTGTGGCTTTCATAGTCTCCAGGTAGCGAGTTCGATCTCTGTATGGCCAGGAGATGTCTTCCGCCTCTTCACAAAGCTTCTATGAAAAGATACTGTATCGCGTTGATTGTCAGAAAGAGGAAATCCACGAAGTTTGGTCGTCAGACGCTGGTTCCGAGTTCTCAATGAAACTACAGTGATCCGCGCACATGCAGGTACAGAGTTTGATTCACGGTCGCGGGTATTCCGTGAACCACTTGAGGGTTATGCTGTATCCTTGGTACCGTCAACTCTGGTTTGCGGGACCGATGTGAAACTACCGCAAAATCTGGTAGAATGCAGGTACAGGTCCCAAGTACCAGATTGTAGTATCGATAGAAGCGACCGAGTTTCCGTCACGGCGTCACCCGTGTCGTCCGTGGATTGTATTGTGGAATGCTGTGATGCCTGTTGGGTCTGCTTTCAGCTTTGATCACATCAACCTTTGGTTCTTCAAATCGATAGGAAACTAAGTATCACCGCTTCTTGCTCGTGTCAAGTACTAGATGGGTGCGCAAGCCTTGAGGCATTGATCTGTCACTTTTCGGGTTGGGGGCTGGGAACCATTGGCTTGGCAGACACCATTTCTTTTCTGACAGATCTCTCCGAGGAGGATAAAGTCCGGTTATAGCGAGTCACTATAGATGCCGAGTCAAGCGAGCGAGCAAAAAAAGCGACACTACGTCGAATAATCTCGGATGGGTCGCCGACTATCACAGTGATTGCTTTTTGCGCCCTTGGTAGCTGCTTTGAAGCCGAAGGGAGATCCGACACTGGCCCAAGAGTTTGTATTGCGGATAAAATTTCCATGAGCCAGGTCGATGCGAAAAGAAGAACAATGATCGTCACGCATCCAAGCCACATTGGCGTTGATGGCGGTTGTCTCGGTTGCCGCGATGCTTTAGTCATGCTGGTGTAGGTGTTCAAACCCTTTAGAGCCAAGTAGGTGATTTCGCTGCCTACCAGTAGCGTGCGAACAAGAGAGAAGTTAGAGGAAGAAAGAACCAACAATAAGATTTGCATGCGTCCAATTGCAGTGGCAGCAGGAATCGCCTGGACGTAGGGTCAGCCGCCATATTTCCTAGTGACGCAGGCTGAATTTTCGCAACTTCACCGTGAGAACTACCTACCTAGGCAAGTAAGTAGATCCTTAAGATCCAGGATCCGATTGTTCGTACCGATCGTAGGATCGCGGATCTACCCTGC